CCAGCCGCTCCGCTCTCCTCTGCCAAAAGCGCCGCGATCGGTGGGGAGCCGACACGAGTCTGCCCGCAGAGCCGAGGGAAAAGAACGCCAGGAAAATGATGGTTCTGCTGTGGCTTGTAGCAGGACAGGGAGTGGGCAGGAGACATTTCCTCTAACGTGGGGGGAACTGACGCCAGTCCAAAGCCGGGCACACCCTGCTGGGAGCAGGCTGTGAGAGAACGGGTGTCGCCGCTGCCGGGAGGGTGCCAGGGGCTCCGGGGATTCTGTTCTGCCCGCTGGGGTGGCAGCTGGGCTGAGGTCTGTGGTCCCTCCCTTCCCTTGGTGGTGGGAAGGAGGTGTGCCTGTAGAGGGAATGAGATTGCCTGGCCCTGTGCAGAGCTCAGTCCCTCCCTCTCTCTGCAGAACTTCTCCTGTGTCCTGGCTGGTTTGGTGGCCTTTTTCTCTGTGGGCATGGCCTGTCTGCAGCCCCAAGACCCGTGCAAAAGGCCAGGGCAGCCCACAAGCTGCATCTGCCAAGTCTGTCTCTTTGCCTTGGCTAAGGGAGCTCTGAGAAGTGACCCAGGCTCTCCTAGGAAAAGGGATCAGAGCCCACAGATGCCATGACAGGGTGGGAGCTGTGCCTGGCACAGGGCACATCTCCCAGGTGCCAGTCTCATCCTGCTCCTCTCTCACCTGACACTTTCAATCCCCCAGGGCGAGGGATGCAACCACACAGCCCAGGCAGGGCTGGAGGGCCAGGATGCACGTGGTGAAAGAGGTGAGTCACAGCAAGGAGGTTCCTAGGCTGAGGAGGGCAGGATGGTCTCATGCCTGGAGGGGTGAGATGAGATGTGTTGGACCAGGACTCTTGGAGTTAAGAGTAGCTTTGTAAATATTCTGCTTTGGGCTGACTGCATGCCCAGGGAAGGGGAGAGTCAGTCTCATCCCTCTCCAGCAACCAACTGGATGGGAGCACAAGGCTCCAGAGCTCTCTGCTTCCACAGAGCACCAGCTGGGCTCAGTGGCAGCACTGCCATAGGTGCCCTGCTCAGCACAACTATAGGTGCTCTGCTCAGAGCCTTGGAGCTGGATCAGAATCTGGGTAGGATCAGAATCTCTAAGGCAGCCCCACGGCTGCTGTAGGCCTGGGGCCAGCACAGTGCCCACATGGCATCAGCCTGTTCCAGTTCCTCATGCCCTGACAGGTGCATGCACACTCCATGCACCTGTCAGGGCATGAGGTGTGTGTGGATGTGCTGTGTGTGGTGTTGTTAGTGGGAACATGAGCAGTGCTGGGTCACAGGCCTCTGGCCCATTTTAGGTACATTTGTGCTGCAGATGTGAGGAGGGTGACAGAGGGAGGCAGGTGATGGAGCTGACGGAAACTCAAGAGAAGCAGAGAAACATGGGCTGAGAGCTCACACCTTCAGGAGATAAGAAAGAGCTTGCAGTAACAAACCATCCTGTTTGTTTGGACAGTGAGCTGTGGGTTGCCTTCAGGTCAGCTCTGCCTGGTGCTCTGGGTGTCTGCTGACAGCAAGAGTGGCCCAAGGCAGCTGGCCCAGGTATAGACACCTCACCCATGGCACTCAGCTGCATTTAGTTAGCTAAATGTTACCTTTCCTGAGCTGGCTGATCCTAAATACACACTTGAACTTCTCAGGGATGGCCCTGTGGGGCACTACATGCTCCTGTTCATGTCCACCTGATGTCCTCTGGTCCTTTTGCCCTCACCAGCAGACTCCAAACCACAGCATTGCATGGAACAGAAATTGCACATGGTTCTGAAAGTCTTCAGCTCTGGGGAAGACACACACACAGAGCTCCTGAGCAGTGCCAGTGTTGTCCCTGCCCTGGGCTCACCCCACACTGCTCCTCCCTGGCTTCAAAGGTGCCCCATGGCAGCCCTCTGGGGCAGTCACTGTGCTTGGTTCCTGCTGTCTCACTGTGCCAGACCCTGTGTAAGCCTGTTAGAATACGCTGCACACCATAAATTTTAAGTGCTAATTATTTCACAAATGTCTTATTAGCACTAGAGCTGTTCTGGCATTTTCCAAAGGCTGAATGCCATAGAAAGGTTATGGATGTGGCACCTGGGGACTTGGGTTAGTGCTGGACTTGGCAGTGCTGGGGGAGCAGTTGGACTCAATGATCTTAGAGGGCTTTTCCAACCTAAATGGTTCCATAACTGACACCAAGGCTGAGGATGGAGATGTGTAACAATCTGCTGGAGGCAGAGATGGACCCTGCCCTGGTCACACCACCAGCTTGGGCCTGACAGACAGGCTCTACTTGGCTCCTCTTGTGTGGGTGACCCTGAGCAGCTCTAAGGGCAGGAATTCAATAGCAGTTTCAGCCACTGACCCAGCAGTTAGGCCAAGCCCTGAATGCCACTTCCCTGTCCCCAGACACTCCATGGGGATGCCACAGCCCCAGTGCACTGTCCTCACTGCTGCAGCACAGCCAGGGCAGGGACACACCTCAGCAGGGCCACTCTGGTCCCACATTTCCTCCATGCATGCAGTGTCCCACTCCTCCCATGTCACCTCTGAACTGGGCATGATGGGGGTGACTCATTGTATGGATCCCCCAAAGCAGCCTTTGCCTGCTGCCACATCCATCCTGCCCCCCTGTCTTGCTCCTCCATGGTGGACCCAGAGCCCTTCCACATCTTTTTGGTGGGCTCAGGCCAGCCAAGGTGATGAGCAGTGGATTATACCCAGCCAGGGAACTTCTGGACAAAGCCCATGGTGACTGAAGCCTTCTGGTCTTTCTCCATTGGAGCAGATGCTCCATGTTAGGAGCATCTCTTTGACCTGAGTCCATGAAGGTTTCTGAATGTTGTTGTGTTTCGAAAAGGCTGTTCAGAGTCCTTGGGATCAGGGTGGTTGTGTACCTCAGCAGAGGTGGGTGTCTGGGAGCTGGCCCTGTAGGCTGGCACCCAACACCACCAATCCCTGCTGAGAGTTTTGGCTTTGCCTCTGCAGGCACCCTCCTGAATGTCAGTGTGAGTGACCATGACCGCTCAGACTCCCTCCTCCTGTCTTGGGATGAGCCAGAGGGAGGTGCCAGGGGGTATTTCCTTGCCCTGTCCCCGCTGGGGTCAGGCATGCTGCTGCAGAATGCCTCTGCTGGACCCAACACCACCAGCTTCTGGTTCCATGGGCTGACTCCTGGCACACGCTACGAGATCGAGGTGACAGCCACGCTGGCCTGCAGGGACACCAGCAGCCAGACCATCACAGCACAGACAAGTAAGGCCTCCCCAGGACCTCAGTGCTCCTACCAGTGATTGTTGTGCTGTTTGGAGTCCTAGTGGTTTGTGGGAGGTTGGGCTTTTCCTCACTTTCACAAGAATTTAAGTCCTTCCTGGGTCCCCAGAGTCGTAGGGGTCATTCCCTCATCCTTGCCCAGCCCCTGCTCCTTGTATGGGCTGGGTTCATGCTGTGTCTCCTCCTAGAATAAAGGAGGTAATGATGAACCAGCCCATGGTGTGGCTCACAGAGAGCTGAGGGGTGGAAAATGTCATGCCTGGAAGTCAAGAAGTAGCCACAAGGAAGGAGCATCTGCTCCACAATTTTGGCACATCTCTGTCAATCACTTCTCACCCTCAGGCCTTGCTCTGTGCCAAGGGCTGGAGAAGGGGACAGGGCTGGTGGTTCTACAGCTCAGGTGGGGATGGCAGCCCTTGCCTGCTCCTCTCCAGAAGATCATTGAGTAAATCAGTGCAGGTGAAGGTGGGAAACCTAGCACAGGAGAGTAGAGCTGGAGGGAGGAGATTGGGCAGTGGAAGGGCTGCTGTCAGGCAGCAGAAGCAGAAGCTGATTGTCACAGAAAGGGAGGTGGCAGGACCACAGGGCCACCAGGAACAGAGGACCTGTCAGCAGGTGAGCTTCCAGGTGATGGTGGCTTCACCTTTATGTGTTGGGCCTGACCAAGCCTCCCTGCTCTGTTCAGAGGAGCTGCTGAGACTGATCCAAGGGGATGGTGCAGCCCACACAGCCCATAGGAGGCTGGTGAATGGTCTGAGAGGTCATGGGGCTGTGCTTGGGGAATCCCTGCTGCAGCCCCTCTGCTCTGGAGACAGGCTGAGAGAGCTGGGGCTGTTCAGCCTGGAGATGAGAAGGCTCCAGGGTGACCTTAAAATGCCTTTTAGTGCCTTGAGGGGATTTGAAAATGGAGAAATAGGGACTTTTCACATGGGCAGATGGCAGCAGGACAGGAGGGAAGAGTTTTAAACTGGCAGAGGAGAAATTTAGATCAGATTTTAGGAAGAAATTCTTCCCTGTGAGGGTGGTGAAGCCCTGGCACAGATTACCCAGAGAAGCTGTGGCTGCCCCATCCCTGGGAATGTCCCAAGGCCAGGTTGGACAGGGCTGGAATAGTGGAAGGGGGAATGAATGAGCTTCAAGGTCTTTTCCAATCCAAACCATTCCACAGTTCTGTGGTTCTATGAAATGGATTTTTGGTGCTCTTTGATTGTTGTCAAGGATATGTTGTGGTGGCACATGACCACCTCATCCTGGTGGATGTTCCCATCATGATGAATGCTGTGCAAATACAGCCAAGGAATGCAGGAGCCTCTGGCAGGTCAGAACAATGAGGGCAGCCCTGGCAGAACCCACTATTGCAGCATTCCCCCAGCCACTCTCTGCTCTGGCCTCAGCCTGATGAGGGCCCTGAAGGAGGAGGACTTTGCCGGTGACACCATGTCCATGGCCCAGGAAAGGGTTCCAGTCCTGAACTGGCTCTCCCAGATGTTTCCAGGAAAACCAGGAGGGAAATGAAGAGGGCAGAGCAGATTCAGACTGAGCACTGCCTGATGAGGGGGGTGGGACTGGATGAGCTTTAGGGTCCCTTCCAGCCCAAACCCTTCCAGGATTCTGTGACTGGCTCCTGTGAAGCTGCCTGGCAAAGGCAAGTTCCACCAGCCTGTGAGCAGCCTGCCAGCTCAGGCTGTGGCAGGAGCAGCCAGCAGTGTCTGTCCATGTCCCACGCAGGTCCCTCAGCTGTCCTGAACCTGACTCTGAGCAGCAGCAGCTCCTCCTCTCTGCGTGCAGCCTGGGCACACGGGCACGGCCACAGGGATGGCTACAGCCTGGCACTGTGGCACAGCCACTCCCAGAGCCTGCTGAGGAACGTGTCCCTCCTGCCCAGCACCTCCACCTTCCTCTTTGAGGGGCTCCAGGCGGGCAGTGAGTATGCCCTGAAGGTCAGCACCCTGGCTGGGACCCGCCAGGCCAGCACCAGTGCCCACCAGTGGACAGGTAGGGAGAGATGGGTGCCCAGGGAGGGAGGGGTGCTAGGAAGGGTTTGGCAGGAGGGATGCAGCACATGTGCTGGGCTGGCAAGGGGAGGAGGTCTCCAGGCTTGGGATGGGGAGCTTGAATGGTGGGGAATGGCTGGAGTATTTCACATCCCCACTGTGAGCTGAGTGCTTGGGCCAAGGGGAAAACTTTGACCCAGGGCTTGGATTTGTCTGTTCCCAGCAGAGAGGGCAGTCTGGGGATCCTGGATCTCCTCACTGCTGAGAGCTGTGGCAGTGCTGCAGTGCCCAGCCTGCCACCCCTGCAGCCTGAAAGAACATGGCAGTGTGGAGGCACCTCCAGCCTGTGTGGGAGGGGGCACAGGAGAGACATCCCTCAGCAGACCCCTACCAGACCTTCACCCCATGCCAGAGAGCAGCTGTGGGCACAGAGGGAGAGAGGAGGCTCCAGGGACCACCGTCCCCAGTGCTGACCCTTGCTGTGTCCTCTCTTCCCCTCAGCTCCCTCCATCCCCACCCAGCTGAGGCTCAGCCCAGCTTCCAGCACCAGCCTCGTGGCCTCCTGGGCAGGGGCTGCAGGGGCTGCCTGGCTCCACCTGGAGCTCCACAACCTCCTCACCCAGAAGGTCAGCATGAGCCTGTCAGCCAGGAGGGGCCTCAGCAGCTACACCTTCCAGCATCTGCATCCTGGCACTCACTACTGGCTGGGGCTCAGTGCCACAGCTGGGCCCTACACTGCCCTGGGACCCAATGCCACTGCCTGGACATGTGAGTATCAGCCTGGTGGCCCCAGCTCTCTCCCTGCCTCTGGTCCAGCCTCTGAATCCAAAAATCCTTGGGTGCACAGGGTGATTTTGCTTGGCCAAAAGCTGCTCCAGGGCCCAACTCTGGGGCACTGCTGTGGTGGGGCCAGTGGATTCCTCCAGCAAGTAAATCCCCCTGTGCTGGTGTGCTTGTCCCTGGCATGCAGTGGGAGCAGCCTCTGGGCTCTCCCCAGGAGGAGGATGGAAGGACAGCAGATCCCACTGGTGTTCAGTGCCTCAGGGGCTTGGCTCTCATGGCTGTACAAGGGCAGCAGAAAAAATGGGGCAAAGGGGCAGCAGCTGAGCTGGTTTGAACTGGAGGCCTCTGGGAGGGGCTTATGTAAGAACAAGAAAGACTTTTTACATGGGCAGTGATAGGACAAGGGGTGAATGGTTTTAAACTAAAATAGGAGAGATTTAAATCAGTTATTAGGAAGAAATTCTTCCCTGTGAGGATACTGAAGTCCTGGCACAGCGTGCCCAGAGCAGCTGTGGCTGCCCATCCCTGGGAGTGTCCAGGGCCAGGTTGGACAGGGCTGGAAGACTGGGATAGTGGAAGGTGCCCCTGTCCATGGCAGGGGGTGGGAATGAATGAGCTTTAGGGTCCTTTCCAATCCAAACCATTCCACAGTTCTGTGGTTCTATGAAATGGATTTTTGGTGTTCTTTGATTGTTGTCAAGGATATGTTGTGGTAGCACCTGATCACCTCATCCTAGTGGATGTTCCCAACATGATCAATGCTGTGCAAATACAGCCAAGGAATGCAGGAGCCTCTGGCAGGTCAGAACAATGAGGGCAGCCCTCCAGAATCCACTATTGCAGTATTCCCCCAGCCACTCTCTGCTCTGGCCTCAGCCTGATGAGGGCCCTCAAAAAGGGGAACTTTGCTGGTGACACCATGTCCACAGCCCAGTAAAAGGTTCCAGTCCTGAACTGGCTCTCCCAGATGTTTCCAGGAAAACCAGGAGTGAAATGAAGAGGGCAGAGCAGATTCACACTGAACACCACTGGCCCTCACATGAGGGAAGTGCCAAGCTGCAGACTCGGAGCTGCTGTGGCCAGTGACGTGTCCTGGCAGTGGCCAAACACTGCTCATGTGTGTGCTGAGAGGAGCTGGGTGCCACCAGATGCCAAATCTCCAGCTCCTTCCTGCTCCACCTGCCAGCCTGGGAGGCTGAGCCTGCTCCCTGCTCCGTGCAGATGGGATTCTGGAAGGCCTCCAGAGCTCCAGCTGGTTTCTTTCTGCTCTGGAGTGAGGCTGATCCCTGCTGTTGCTGTCTGCAGCTCTGACCTGCTCCACTGAACAGAATTCCCCCATGCCAGACACAAGAGCCAGGGGCATCTGGCCAGGAGTTTGGTCCAGGCCAGTTCCTGGGAATATCAGCAAGCTCATGGTGGGATGTGAATGGAGTGCAAGGAGACTTTCAGGAATTTCCCAGCAAGGCTGCCAGCTTTGTCTGGACTCTGTTAGTCCAGGAATGCTTGTGCTGGGGAGTGCAGATGGCTCAGTCCAAAAGGATGTCTAAGGCTCGATGTAACCCTGCAGGAATGAGGCTCAGCAGTGTAAGGGGTACAGAGTGCCCCATAACCCTGATTCACACAACCCTGTTCCCTTCCAGACCCCCTGAGTCCTGACAATGTGACCCTGAGCAGTGCAGAGGAGCAGAACTCCTTAGAGGCTCGCTGGAGTGTCCCAGGGGGACACAGGGACTTCTACCTGGTGACCCTGCAGGAGGGACAGGACAGTGCTCCAAGCAGGAACATCTCCGTGGGTGGGGACAACGACCACGTCACCTTCCACGGGCTGAGCCCTGGCCAGCAGTACTCTGTGCAGGTGGTGGCGGTGGCAGGGCCCTACAGGGCATCAGCTCAGAGCTCAGCAGCCTGGACAGGTGAGCAGAAAGCCCTTGTGTGGCCCTTGGGGCTGTTCCTGCTGCCTGCAGGGGGCTGGGGGTGAGGCAGGCACAGGGACAGGCCACCTGGGACACCTGGTGTCAAGAGCAGGAAATTCTGCCTCCCCACAGCTCCTGGTGAGGGGGAGCTCAGAGTCCTGGGCAGGTTTGTGCCAGGCACAGAGCAAGACCAGATCCTGCTTTGTGCCTTCTGGGCTCTGCTCCTGCAGCTCCTGCCTTCCCCTCAGCACAGCTGGATGGGCAGGGAAACACCACCAGCCCCCAGGGGGACATCTCCCTGTGCCCAGTCTCTCCTGGTGACCTGTGGAGCCACAGCTGGTGCTGTCCCAGAGCTGCCACTCTGGGGATGGACAATTGTGCGGAGGTACCCACCCAACCCATGGTGCTGGGGGTCTCCCAGAGCTCTCCCTGCAGCCCCTTCTGCCCCTGTGTAGGGTGGGGACATCTGCAGTGTCACAGAATCACAGCACTGCTAGGGTTGGAAGGGACCTCTGGAGATCATCTAGTCCAACCCCCCTGCTCTAGGGTCACCTAGAGCAACTTGAAAAGCAGAAAATATCTTGTGAAAGCCATGCCTGATGCACTGCCCCATGTCATGCTGTCCTTGTCCCCTGCAGAACCACAAGCACCCTCTGGTGTGAGCCTGTCCAGCCAGGGCAGCCCCCACAGGCTGCTGGCCAGCTGGGAGGAGGCCCCAGGGGAGGGCTACCTGCTGCTCCTCAGCCTTGCAGAGCACCCTGTGCACAACAGCTCCTTGCCCAGGGGTGCCACGAGCTTCACCTACGAGGGCCTGCACCCTGGGAGCCTGTACAGCTTTGAGATCAGCACTGTGGCTGGGCCCTACACATCCTCACCCCAGTGCATCTCCAACTGGACATGTGAGTGCCACAGCCCCTGATGGTGGGACTGAGTCTTTTGTCCTTGGGGGTGTGTGGCTGCCACCTTGACATCTTCAGGGTTGTGCTTTTTTTATAAGCTACAAGAATGTTGAAGTTTAGTGGATGATTAATTGATGATTTGTGATCATGATTTATATTTTTGTTTGGGTGTTTTTGGGGGGCGGGGGGAGGGGAGAAAAGGAAACCCCTTCCTTCTCTGGTTTTAGGATTAGTTCTGTATCTGTTTTGGGGTGATTGTGGAATGATGTGGACTGATTGTTTAGTTTTTAATACTAGGAAATATAGAGGAATCCCTTCCCCTGATGTCACACCTCAGGGCACTGAGCACACATCTTGTACACCTTAATCCAATAACTGGGCAAAAGGCTCAGGAGGAGGCAGAGGTGCTGCTGATGTGTGTGACCCTGCTGCTTCCCAATCACCAGGCACAAGGGGCAGCTGAGCCCAGTGCCCTTCTCCTTCTCCTCAGTCACTGCTCAGGCTGTCCTTGCCTTCACCCCCTCCACCACGCACCACCCCCTCCAGCACCAGAAGAATTTTTTCTCTGCCAGTTTGAGCTGTGCTGTCCCAGTCCCTGCCAGGCTGGTGTGTGGGTGTCAGCAGGGGTGGTCCAAGCACCTGGATGAGGTTTTCCCAGGGAAGGGATTCCTGCCCCAGCACATTTGGAGCTGCATTTCTGCCAGGTGATTCCAGACCTTTCCTTTCCCAGACCCTTTGGCCCTAAAGCAGCTGACCCTCAGCAATGGGGGCCACAGCACCTCTCTGCAAGCCTCCTGGAGAGCAGCTTCCTCTGGCAGCACTGGCTACACAGGCACCCTCTGGGAAACCAAATCCCAGGAGCAGGTCAGGAATGTGACTGTGGGGAGTGACTGGACCAATGTCACCTTGGAGAACCTGGTCCCTGGGCGGCAGTACACGTTGGAGATGGCTGCTGTGGCTGGGCCTTACAGATCCCCTGTGAGATCAGCCACTGACTGGACATGTGAGTGTGACAGTGCTACCTCACCCTGCTGCAGGTCACAACTGCTCAGAGTCAGAGTGGCCCATGTGTGGGGAGGTGGGGACCAGAGACAGATAGAATGGGGAGTCAGCTGGAGCCATGTTGGAAGTAAAAGGGTCTGCAGTGCAGGAGGAACAGAAAACATTCCCAAATGTCACCCAGGGGAAGGTGGGGACCCGCTCCCGTGTCTGCTCTGGGTTTGCTGTGCTGACTCCTGACCTAACTCCAGCAGGCACAGACAGGGCAGGGTGCCCAGCACAGCCTCCCCTCACTGCCTGGCTGTCTCCCCTCACTGCCTGTCTCTCTCCTCTCTCTCAGACCCCCTGGCTCCATCTGGAGTGACTCTGACCAACACCCGGCGCCCAATGGGGCTCTCTGCCTTCTGGGACAAGGCTGCTGGGGATGTGGACCAGTTCCACCTCCAGCTGTACAGCAAGAGCCATGCAGCACAGAGAAACACCTCAGTGGGGCCTAACACCCACAACTTCACATTCCTGGGGCTGTCCCCTGGCACTCAGTACTTCCTGAAGGTGACTGTCCTCGCTGGCCCATACAGATCCTCGTCACACTTTGCCACTGAGTGGACATGTGAGTCAGAAGTGTTCCCAGTCTCTTGTAGGGATGGGACATCCTGGCACTGCCTGTAAGACTGGCAGTGACACAAACTTGTCTGGGTGGAGGGAGGGCTCCAGTGACACCTGCATGCTCCCTGTCCCGGAAGACAGAGCATGTGTCATAGGTTAGGTGCTGTGTGCTGGGCCCCAAAAGATCCTTTTCCCCAGTCAAGTTGAACCTTCTGGTGATCTGAAGGCCAGCCAGGGGCTGGTGGGAGAGGGATGTGAGAGAGGAAGCACAGAGACCTGTATGGGCTTGCTGCTCCCTGTCTGTGGAGCAGAGCAGCCCACTGGGAGCTGGGTGCTCCCAGCACCTGCCTGCAAGCAGCACCCTGGGGACATGCACAGGCAGCTTGCATGTCCCCAGGAGAACAGGGAATGCAGTGGTCAGGTGTCCCCACTTCTCCTTCAGCCCTGTGCCGAGGTGCAGGCTGTGCCCTGGCTCCTTCACTGTCACAGTGGTCACAAGGGTTGCAGGATGAAGAGAGAGGCGAGAATGTTGACCTCATGTTCAGAAGGCTTGATTTATTATTTTATTATATATATTACATTATGACTATACTAAAAAGAAATAGAAGGAAAGTTCTCAGAAGCTAGCTAAGCTAAGAATAGAAAAGAATGAATAACAAAGATCTGTGTCCCGGCAGAAAGCGAGAACAGCTCTGCTGTGAGTGGTCAGTAAATCCAAACATCCACAGGAGACCAATCACAGATCCACCTGTTACATTCCACAGCAGCAGATAACCATTGTTTACACTTTGTTGCTGAAACTTCTCAGCTTCAGCAGGAGAAATCCTAACAAAAGGATTTTAATGAAAAGATGTCTGTGACACCTTCACCACCTCATGGATGCCCATGCTCTGTTCCCTGCAGATCCCCTGTCCCTGGCCAACGTGAGTGTGCAGCCTGGCCGGGAGCCCCAGGAGCTGCGCGTGAGCTGGGTGGAGTCCGGAGGTGGCAGAGATCACTTGGTGCAGCTCTCAGTGGCCGAGTCGCTGTCCATCATCAGGAATGTGTCAGTGCCCCGTGGAGTGACCCAGCTGGCCCTGCAGGGGCTGGTGCCAGGCTCCAGGTACCGCGTGGAGATCATTTCCCAGGCCGGGCCTCACCGCATCTCCTCTCAGACTGCCATCGGCTACACCGGTACAGCACAGCTCCCTGCTCCACCCACTGTGTGCATGCCCCAGCCCTCCAGCTGCCAGCTCCATCCCTCACTAGATCAGTGCTGCCCAGCCCAGGTGTGCCCCAGTGACGCTGTTTCTCTCCCACAGTCCCCCTGGCTCCTCGTGCCCTGTCTGCCACCCCTGCCAGCACAGCCCAGACTCTGGCTGTGCACTGGGAGGCTGCTGCTGGCCACAGGGATGGATACCTGCTCAGCCTGCTCCAGGAGGGCTCCTCTACACGGCCAAGGAACCTGGAAACAGGGAAGGACAGCACCAATGTCACTGTGGCACAGCTGGAAGCAGGGACATGCTACCTTGTGAGGATGTGGGCAGTGGCTGGGCCCTACCGCTCGCTCCCCGAGAACACCACCGGCTGCACAGGTCAGCAGCTGGCACCCATGGGTGGTGGCATCAGTG